CCCCAAAACCCCAAAACCCCAAAACCCCGTCAGATCAAAATAGGCAGTAATTAATGAATTGAATTGTTAGGGAATAGAGATAGAAATACTGACTGATTAAGATAAAGTAAGCATGAGCGTTGCAGCAATGTCGATTTATTATGTTGCAATTTTATAATCGGATCAATGCTCTTCGTTGTGCAAGTACTTGGTGTATTCGTCCTCCTTAATGGCTGTTTGCACTTCATTGATAGCCTGTTTCACGAAAACACCATCTTATACATAGAGAATACGGTCTGCGTAGCACTCCAACTCTGGGTTATGAGTGACCATGACACAAGTAGTAGCGTGATCCTCTCCATCTCCTCTTGGTCCAACTCTGTTAATGTTAAGAATCAAGTCCATGACTTGCACAGTGGCTCTTGAGTCAAGATCTCCAGTGGGCTCATCGAGCAGAAGAATATCTGGCTCATTAGCAAGTGCTCTAGCAATGGCTACTCTTTATTGCTCTCCTCCAGACAGCTCTGAGGGTAGATGATCTAATCTATCTCCTAACCCTACTCTCTTTAGAAGTGCAATAGCTCTCTTCTTTCTCTCCTTTTCATTATGCTTGCCTAGCAGAATCATGGGAAGTTCCACGTTCTCTAAAGCGCTCATAGTAGCGAGTAAGTTGAATGTTTGGAATACGAATCCGATGTGCTTCAGTCTGAGAGATGATAAGAATTCATCCTTAGAGTCTCCGTCAATTCTCTAGTTCATAATGTAAAGCTCTCCATCGCTGGGCGAGTCAATAGTTCCAATCAAGTTCAAAAGAGTGGTCTTACCACCTCCAGATGGTCCTCTGATCATAACGAATTCTCCTCTATTTCAACGATTAATAATCTGCTCCATTTAGACTATAATAGCAACGAGTATATATATTCCGTCATACTTACCTCTTAATTGGATAGAACTCAGTTTGGGGAGCTAGGGACACGGATCTCAAGGCAACGACCTTCTCTTCTCTGCCTTCAAGACTATAGACCTTGCTTAAGTCAGTGAACATGATAACGTCCTCACGACCTTCAAAGTTCTTTGGCTAAAGTCTGTAAAGGTTCAGCTTCTTTCTGCGTACTACCTATTCTTGATGCTCTTCCATAATAATTTATCTGTATTATTAATTACACGATTGCTGATAATTAATTTATACAATTTCAACTCTACTGATTCTTTTGACTTGGTGTTCATGGGGTTTTGGGGTTTTGGGG